GATGCACAAACTGTGGTTTTAACCATCCCAAGTCATTTTTTGTACCAATCAAGTGAATGTGAGTACTGCCCATGGGAGGGGCAACATGACATTTCCCTGGCCGATTCAAAACAGGTCATGGACCCTCCATAGACACCAAGGCGGTGGGAGGGAGAACTTAACCACACCGTGTAACCGAATCAAACCAGTGGTTACCCCTTTTCAGCCCACTGGAATAGCCATAACAATACCATTCACTTTGCAGCAGAGAAGACATGCTCCTTTGAGACTGACTGAGAGGCTTTTTATCAACTGCGGGGCTTTGTAGCCTTTTAGAGAAAAGAGAGAGAGAGAGAGAAACAGAAAGCTCATTTTGAAAGTTTATTTTTCCTAACACATTTTATTTTATTGGGTGTGGGTCTAAATATAAGGTCTTAATAATGGCGAATGACAGAAATGCCGTTTTATATGCGGAAAAAGAGTCAAGCTCAGGACTGCCCTAATGCTGACCGATGCCTTTCAGGTTGCTTGAACACATCAGAATTGCCATTGTTAAGGTTGATTAATTGAGTCTGATAAGTTACCATGAATGAAGATTGTTATAGTGTTTTATGTGGTGGGCCTGGGTTTGTAAATGCCTCTTTCAAAGAGTTCTGCAGAAAAGCATATGGGCCAGACGTATTCATGAACAAAAAGGAAAAAAAGCCCAAATTTATTATGGTTGTGTCCAAGCAGTCTTGTCCCCCTTCTTTTGATCATTTTCCGAATGACTTTGAAGCCATGCACTTGCCATATTAAAAAGGGAATATTTAAATATTTTAGGAAAAAAAAGAGTGATTTTACCATGCTTACCAAGTTTTACTCTCTTTGATAGTGTTCCCAATGTGGTTAAAAAGTTTATTACTTAGTATATTACACATTTAAAAATTGTGACATTTTGCTCAGTCAACATATTGCATTTATATCTGATTAATCCTAAAACACAATATTCATATTTATAAATTAAGCTTAGCTAACAAGACCCATCAGACAGACAAACAGGCAGCCTTAGCGTACATGTCCAAACAAGAGCTTGTAGAAGTGTGTTTGCCATAAAAGCTTGAAATTATTCACACCAACTTAGATTGGTGACACACTGAATAAACATAATATGCTGTGTGACAACAATGTTTGCCAACTCTTTCCAAGTGTCAAGACCCTCAGTAGCCGGTGCCTTATCTCCAGTGTCTCAATTATTGAGTGTCAGTGGTGATGTATGGACCAGATTCCCGTGGTTTAGACAGAGGCCAGCTAGCAGTTGTAGAGGTCACTGGCCAGGCCCTCTGGACCGAGGACCAGTGACCTCCTTCATGCTAACCCACTATAAACTACTGCAATGGCCTGTGGACATCTCCATCCATCCAGAGCCAAGGCTGCAAGTACAGATCTTTTCTCAAGTACTTAAGCAAATATGCAGAAAGTTAGGCATGATGTCAAAGCCAAATACAATAAAAACAATAATACTGAGAAATATTACTACAATTTAAAATAAATGTTTTCTATTTAATACATTTTAATATTTAATTTATTCCTGTAATGGAAAAGCTGAATTAACTCTTCAGTGTCACATCCTTCAGAAATCATTCTAATATGCTGATTTGGTGCTCAAGAAACATTTCTTCTTATCATTGTCGAAAATAGCTGTACTGCTTAATATTTTTGTAGAAACCATGATACATTTTTTCAATATTCTTTGATAACTTTGATATAGAAAGATCAAAAGAACAACTTCCTGGCTCCATATTTTTGTCTTGTAATGTGTGTGTG